AGTCCCCGCCCACTTGTTCCAGTAGAAACCTGGCAGATGTTTATCTAGCTCCCTCGAATTAGCTGAGCTGCTTGGTATCTGCCAGGTGGAAAGGAGGGCTGCATCCCTTCCAAACTGCAGCTCCGCTTTTGTCCCCACTCCCCAGTGTCCAGAGAGCAGCCAAGGGCAGAGAGGGAAGGAGGGGGCCCTGCTGGTCAGGGCTCAGAGCCAAGTCTTAGAGGTGACACCTGAGAGCTCAGGAAATAGGCCTCTCCTGAAGGTAAGGGTCACTGGTAGGGGGAGAATGGCTGCCATGGAGAGGGGGCAGGCTTGGCCTCAGCTTTGCACATTCTACCTCATGTTTCCTTCAGAACCCTGCACATGGTCCGCCTCTCTGTGAAGGTAACCAGCATCACTGAGATACAATCACTCCAGGCCCTATGGGACTCCAGAACTCGACTGTCATTCTAGCTCAGGGATCCTCCTCTCTATTGCATGAGTTTTTTCTTTTCAAATCCATGTCCAGTGGCCCCTGTGAGACTGTGGGCTGACAAGGGCGGTGTATGTCTCTCCCTTTTCCCACTTGCCCCTGATGCTTTCTGTAGCAGAGTTCTCTACCCTCGGAGCTCAGAAGTTTGCAGGGCACAGTGGCTCACGTCTGTAATCCTAACACTTTGCAAGGCCAAAATAGTTAGATCAATTGAGGTCAGGAGTTGGAGACCAGCCTGGCCAACAGGGTGAAACCCTGTCTCTACTAAAAATACAAAAAAATAAATAAATTAGCCAAGCATGGTGGTGCATGTCTATAATTCCAGCTACTCAGGAGGCTGAGGCAGGAGAATCACTTGAACCCTGGAGGCAGAGGTTGCAGTGAGCCGAGATCATGCCACTGCACTCCAGCCTGGGGGACAAGAGCGAAGCTCTATCTCAAAGAAAAAAAAAAAAGTCTGAAGGTCAACACAGGTAGAAACGGAGGTCAATGACTTCTTTGTAGCATTTCAAAACTTCTACAGGAAATCCTGTATCATAATAAAGCCTCACAGAAAAATTAACAGATGTGGTTTCCTTGCTTTTATCCAGATCTGGAATGATATTGGTTATCCCATGCTGAACAAATGGTCTGAGTGATTTTTCTTTGATTAATTTTTAAGAAGTAAAAACAAAATTAGCACTTCGGCCTTATAAACACAAGTTGTTTGCAGCCGATGTCCCAGGAAGCACCAACCCACGCCACCCCTGCATAAAGAAAGCCAGGCACACAGTGGGGGGTTGGGGGTGCTGGCTGCCTGGCTGGGGCTGAGCTCCAGCTGCTAACCTTCCATTGCTTCCTCTGTTGTCCCCGCTGAAGACTCAGACGCTGCCTACTGGCCCTGGAGAAGCCCTGGAAATGTCAGAGTCTGGAAATGCTAGCTGCCCCCGTATTTACATGCTTTACCATACATGGGAATTGCTCAGTGCTGACGTCAGACAAATTCCTGGGGAGCTGCGTAGTACAGGCACATCATTACCATATAAATTCTTGACAACTGGAAACAGCAATCAGAACCCAGTACCCCTCCACCTCACCTTCTCTGCCCTCCCCTCAAATTTTACTAGTTCTCTTTCTCTCTCTCTCTCTCTCTTTCTCTCTCTCTCTTTCTCAAGAGGCTCTTTTCCAGGCTTCTTTGACTTTCCTGCAAACCTGCCTCTGAAACTCAAAGATGCAGACCTGGTGAAAGCATATCCATGGGTGTCTGGGAGTGAACTACCAGGGTCCCCTCTGCGCCTACCTGCCCATGCAACAGACTAAAAGCCCGGATGTCAGGAGTTCTAGTCCTGATCCATCCAACTTAAAGATTATCTTCCTTAAATCGTTTATAAGACACTGTAAAGTACCCTGTAAAGCTGATGCATTCCACAAATGACAGCTACTTTCTGAGTGAGTTGATCTGGAAAAAAGAAATGTAGAGCAGCAAAGAAAAATACTAAGGTAGTGAGTGAGCATAGATTTTGGAAATAGCCCATATTTGAACGGCAGTTCCACAGGTGACCAGCTGTGATCCTGAGGAACTTTCTTACTACCTCTGGGCCTCAGTTTCTCTATCTGTAAAATGGAGAGCATCAGTAGCTACCTCATAAATTGTCCAAGACAACACATGTGAAGTACTTTTCACACTGTCTGGTACAAAACAAGTGCAGATATCTGCTTATTCTTTTCTGAAGGAGAGGCCAGCTCTAACACTTCTCATTCAGTTTTGTGTCTCTTTTGATATTTGACAATATGCCTGAGTAATAGCAAACGGCTGACTTGGAGGAAAAAGTGTTTTTATTCTCGCTAGCACCTCTTTGGATCCCAAAATGTTTAATGCATGTATCTTCATAGTCTTCTTTTTTTTTTTTTAATTTATTTTATTGCATTTTAGGTTTGGGGGTACATGGGAAGAACTGCAAGATTGTTGCATAGGTACACACGTGGCAGTGTGATTTGCCCTCTTCATAGTCTTCTAGCAAGCCAACATTTTACACTAAGCTAGACCTACATAAATATTTAAAACTTTAGCAACCTGCCAGAAAAGCCTTCCCAATTTGCTTCCCCCACCAGGAGATGGACAGTGAATAAAGACTATGTCTCCAGGAACAGTGGGTCATGCCCATAATCCCAGCGCTTCGGAAGGCCAAGATGATGGTAGGGGCAGGGAGGGGATCACGTGAGGCCAGGAGTTCAAGACCAGACTGGCCAATATATGAGACAGTTTCTAAAAAACAAAACAGTCCAGGCGCAGTGGCTCACACTTGTAATCCCAGCACTTTGGGAAGCCAAGGCAGGTGGATCACTTGAGGTCAGGAGTTCAAGAACAGCCTGGCCAGCATGGCAAAACACCATCTCTACTAAAAATACAAAAATTAGTTGGGCGTATTGGCAGACACCTGTAATCCCAGCTACTTGGAAGGCTGAGTCAGGAGAATCGCTTGAACCTGGGAGGCAGAGGTTGCAGTGAGCCAAGGTCCCGCCATTGCACTCCAGCCTGGGCAACAGAGCCAGACTCTGCCTCAAAAAAAGAAAGAAAGGAAGGAAGGAAGGAGAGAGGAAAGAAAACTATGCCTTTTTTCCTCACCTGCTTGTCAATCTGCCTATGTGGAAAAACTGGCTAGTAACTATTTGTAACGTTTATGAGTGTCTGTCCGTAGGGCAACTCAGCTGAAAGACCATGGCTACCCCACTCATTCATCAAATGTTTACTGATCACCCAGTCAAGTGTCTATACACTCCCAGGCTGCAGCTCTGGCCCCGTCAGGACTCACCAGCTCCAGACGCAGATGCACAAGTGTGCAATTAAAAGAGCAAACACCTGGGCCAGGAAGGAAGGTGCTAAGACAGACCAGCGGAGGCAAAGAGGCCACAGCACCCCTGTTTTTCCCATCTTATTAGCAGGCCAATTGCAGAGCTGATGGACCTTCTCGTCAGTTTCTCTCCTGCATCCCCCACATACCCTCCATCCTGGGCATCTCAGGCCTTGCAGATGGCCCTCCCCTCCCTCTCCTCTAACCCACACTACGCCCTCTGCAGGATACACTTCCTTCCTTGTCTGACTGCCTCCGCCCCGGATATCCTTTCCAAGGCAAAGGGTCATTCACTGGGAGAGCCTGGCAGCATAGGCTGGATTTAGGAAACAATGGGTAAGAGCTGCCCACCAGCAGCTGAGGGCTGAGGACAGTCTCTCTCAAAAGAGGTGGCCTGGCCTCCTGAGCCAGAGTGCTGCTGGAGAGTCAGGAGGCAGCAGTTGAATGGGAGCAGGGGAAGCTCAGTCCCCCAAATCCCACCTGGGGAAATCGCCAGCATGCGCTCTGAGAGGACAGAGAGAGACAGCTAGCACCTCCAGCCTCTTTAGCTTCTGGGAGGGAGGCAAGGGATGAGCGGAGGACAAGGAGGAAGATGTAACTGAGAGAGCACTCCTGCCTTGGAGGCTCTGTGTAATACACTCCCCAAGTAGCATCCCTGAAAGAAACTGAGGCATTAAGAAGTTAAACAGTTTGTCCAAGGAAACCTATGTGTTAAGTGGCAAATCCAAGAGTCAAAACTCTGCCTTCCAAATAATCCCCAGCAAGACTCCAGGCCACCTCTTCACGATACACTGATACACTTTCTACTAGGGCCCAGTGGATTTCCTCAGTGCCACTGTGACAGTATCCCAGTGTGGGGAGGGCCTGCCCATTCATTCACTCTCAGGGAGCAGCGGGTGGGTGGCTGGAGCCCAGGGATCTAGGCAGAGCCTGAGCCCACTATTGCTCCAGCCGATTGATTCCTGGATCACAACAGCACCAGAACCAGAAACATGCAAACTATTCTCTGGTCTGTACCAGTAGATACACTACCTGCCTCAGAGGGCTGATGGTTGGGTAACACATTGTGATTTGCTTAAAACGTGCTCAATACCAGCCCCTTTCTTCCTCCCCAGCTTTCAAGGACTGAGGCCACAAAACACTGACTGCAGGCTCTTTCGGGCTTCAGTAACTATCACCACCTGGCACCAAGACTTGCAGCGGAGAGGTCTCCATGCACTTCTTTCACAAGAGGGAAAACTCGCACCTGCCTCAGGGACACAGATGTCCAAGGTCAGGCCTATGACGCCAGATGTTTGCCCCACCCCGCCCGCGGGCATTTTCTCCCCAGCAGGAGGGTGAGGGAGGGGGTGGCACGGATGCGCTCATCTCTCTGCCATACAATGAGCGTCAGTGTCGCGCAGAATCGCCGATTGTTCTGCACGACCTGCAGGCAGTTGAGGGAGGCCGGGTGGCCCTGGGTCACGGACACGCGAAAGTCAACTGTGTCCAGGAAGCCCAGGAAGCCGCGGGATGTGGAGGGACCTAGTGCCTCCAGGAAAGAGCAGCACTGTCCCCGGCTAACTGCGGTCACTTCTCACAGTTCCCCATCCGCGACAGCCCCCGGGCCGCGGCGGGGCGGGCAAGACTGGGAGGCGCTGGGTGCGTGCCCAGGCGCCCCTCCGCGGGGGACAGAGCCGCGCGGCCCGGGGCGCACTCACCTGGCAGCTGGCTGGACGGCGCGCGGGCTGCGGGCGCTCTCGGAAGTGGCGGCTGGGTGCGCCCGGCCTGCGCGCCGTTTTGTTCCGCTCCGGGGAAGGCGTGTCCCGGGCCACGCCAACCAGTGGGCTTTGCACACTGCACCACTCCAGGGCTGATGTCATGGCGCGAAGCCCGGCGGCGCTGCCCTCCCAGGCCCCGGGACAGCCCGGCCTGCAGGGGGCGGGTTCAGGAGTCACCGACTGCGGGCGCCCCCTGTGCTCGCGCTGCCGTCCCACTGTGCGCCCTGTGGCCGCCACCGCGGAAAACGTCTTGCACATGTCAGGGACATTTCAGGGGTTTCCTGTCAGTCGAGTGAGAAGGTGGAATGTGACCTTAGAGGTCAGACCCACGATAAACTTGGGCCCCTAACGAAAGTGGTGTCTCGAATTTGCGTGTACTGGTGGCAGAGGGTAAGGGACACATCTTGGGCGCCAGGGTAAGACAGACCCTTCCAGGGCAGGTCTGATTCTGCCCGTCCACTCACTAGCTGGGCCCTGGGCCTAGACATGCAAAATATTCTCTGGTCTGTTCCAGGGGGCATTCTGTCCCCACCTCCTCATCCAGTCCCCATCTCCTCATCCAGTCCCCATCCCTTCCTGAGTGTCCTGTGTAGGCGTTACAGGGGGCAGAGAAGCTCACACCCTCCAGAGCTGCTGCCTGGGCCAGAGGAGAGCCCTCACCCCTTGCCTGGATGGGAAACAGCCCAGAAGTGCAATGTTCTACACAGAGAAGAAGCTTCCCAGGAGCCTCTGGCAGGGAGGACCTAGGTAGGGGAGGAGAGCCAGACTTTAAGGGGAAGTACCATTTTCTTTTCCTCCTCCCTGCCCCTGTCCATTCTGCTGTGCATCAAGCAAGGAGCACTGCCCTTTTTGGGAACTTGTGAGTTTGGATTTGGGGGAACGAGAACAATCTGCAAGAGAAAGTGATGTTTCCAGGAATAGGAGGAGTAAGGAAGGAGTGAGCGCCTCGGGAAATAAAGCCTTGTCTTGTAGTTTGTAGGCTTTCTCAAACTTGTTCACTTTATTTCTAAGACCAAAGGAAGTCAAGGGCTGATGTTATGTCTATTCTCTAACATTGAGTCACATTATTTTCAGAGTGTAGACTGTGATGGGAAAGAAGCCGCCCTCGGAGCTTGGATGTGCACTTCAGTGTGATTGCGAATGTTGTGTGAGTGTCTCGTGTGTAACTTTCTGCTATATTCCAGAGCATGCTCAGAAGGAACTTCTGCAGCCTCCTAACGCCCATAGCAGTTCACTGCAGGGAGGCCCTGGAAGGTTTGCGAGGCAGCTGCTCACCCCACACCCCAGGTGGCCTATAGATGCAGCTGCTAGGTCTTCCACCCTGGGCAGGAAAGGGTTCAGGCCTCAACCAGCCTCACTTAAAGCCCTGGTTTGCTGAATCAACTTTTTTCCAGAAATAAAGTTAAGCATCTTATGATCTAGAAAATGAATTATTTGACCAGGCACGGTGGCTCATGCCTGTAATCCCAGCACTTTGGGAGACTGAGGCAGGCAGGTTGCTTAAACCCAGGAGTTCAAGACCAGGGGAAACTATGTTTCTGCAAAAAATTTAAAAAGTCAGCCAGGCAGAGTGGTGTGTGCCTGTAATCCCAGCTACTTGAGGCTGAGGTGGAAGGATCACTTGAACTCGGGAGGCAGAGGTTTCAGTGAGCCAAGATTGCGCCACTGCATTCCAGCCTGGGTGACAGAGCGAGAGTGTGTCTCAAAAAAAAAAAAAAAAAAAAAAGAAGAAGTGTTTATCTAGGTTTTCTTGCTTTCTACCTTAAGCAACATCTTCCCTTTGGCAGGTCCATCATATAAACAAGGCCCTCCCAGATTCAAATGCCTATAAGCACCCAACCAGCATTTCTTGCAGACTGGGCCATCTTCATCTGACCCAACCAAGATGTAGGAGGAGAAATCAGAAGAATTCCTGGTCACAGCTGCACTGAGCAAGCAATAAACAGGTACATTCAGTTGCAGAACTACCATCAGTGTCAGAGACCAGGGCTTCTGCCCAAAGATGGCGATCCCACGGGATTTCCCCGTCTCCTTTCAATCCTTAGTATCACGGAGAGATGAGCCTCGGAGTTCTGCCCAGGATTTTACTGAAAGGGCAAACTCCTACATTTCCTTCTTTGGTCTGGGTTTGTCCTCTCTGGAGTCGTGGGACTGTTGATAAATTTCCCTGTGAGGACATGCCAACCTGTGCTGTGAAATGGCTTTAGGGTAGATCCAGGAAAAGAAGAGCAGTTACTGCGGTCACACTTGGATTTCTCCCAGATCTTAGAGCACCCTGTAAACAAAGCAGTTGTACAATGTGTCTCTAAACCAGAATCCTTTCGATAGTCAGTAGTGTGTGGTAGTGTTCCTAACTACACTAAGGCAGCAGGACTATCTCAGGCAGTCCAGGGCAGGTGGTCACCCCGCGTGTCTACCCAAAGACTGCCAGTGCACTTTTCTTAGGAGCTGTTTACGCAGAGCTAGAGATGAAGGAAGCTGAGTGGGACCTACCTTGTTTGCTGTTTTTCCAGAATCTCTCACCTGATTATGTTGTTCTCTCTGCCTACTGCCAATTATTTGGGCTTGGTCTTAGATAGCCCATTTGCAGATAAAGAAGACTTGAGGGATGTGGAAGGGCTTTGGGATTGAGTTGAGTCAAAGGTGATGCTGGGGTTACCCACCACACAAACAGGCACAAGCCTGATGTTGAAATCACAGAAAAACCAGTAAACATCACTACTTAGGATATCCTTAAGAAAGAGATTCTCGCCGGGCGCAGTGACTCAAGCCTGTAATCCCAGCACTTTGGGAGGCCGAGGCGGGTGGATCACGAGGTCAAGAGATCGAGACCATCCTGGTCAACATGGTGAAACCCCGTCTCTACTAAAAATACAAAACATTAGCTGGGCATGGTGGCGCGTGCCTGTAATCCCAGCTACTCAGGAGGCTGAGGCAGGAGAATTGCCTGAACCCAGGAGGCGGAGGTTGCGGTGAGCCGAGATCGCGCCATTGCACTCCAGCCTGGGTAACAAGAGCGAAACCCCTTCTCAAAAAAAAAAAAAAAAAAAAAGAAAGAGATTCTCATTCTGGCTGACCTCATTTACATAACCATATCTAGACTGGCCCTACCTGGCCAGCAGCACCCACATCGGCAGAGACAGTGCAATTGGAGCTCATCACCAAGAGATTATCTGCTGGGCGTTCTAGCAGGAGATTTGGCACGCTTAGGGGCTCGTCTGCTTCTCAGGACTCTCACAAGTGTCTAACCTTTTCAGTATCTTTATGTCCTCTCTGTGCACTCTATTTCCAGCGCCTCTGGGTTGGTATTTGTTGGCTGCTGGGGATGAAGTGGGGCTTGTTACAGGCAGGAAGTAGGGCCCCTGCCCTCCAGCTTCCAACTTTCTCTGCCACTTTTTCTGTCATCTTTTCTTCTCTTTCCTCCCTCACCAGCATCCTGATGCTACATCTTCTCTCTCCTCTCCTGTGGTGAGACCTTTCTTTTCCTCATTGATCCCAAGTGAGGGGGACCTGAGTGTGAGGCTGAGGAAAGAGTAAGCAGATGTGGCTGGCTTAGCTCTGCCCATCATCCCAGAGACCTTAGAGATCCAGTCTGGGCTGGAGATCTTACTTGTCCATCTTTCCATCCATCTGTCCATTCATTCATTCATTCATTCACCCATCAGAAGATTATTGCAGGCCGGGCGCAGTGGCTCAAGCCTGTAATCCCAGCACTTTGGGAGGCCGAGGCGGGTGGATCACGAGGTCAAGAGATCGAGACCATCCTGGTCAACATGGTGAAACCCCGTCTCTACTAAAAATACAAAAAATTAGCTGGGCATGGTGGCGCGTGCCTGTAATCCCAGCTACTCAGGAGGCTGAGGCAGGAGAATAGCCTGAACCTAGGAGGCGGAGGTTGCGGTGAGCCGAGATCGCGCCATTGCACTCCAGCCTGGGTAACAAGAGTGAAACTCTGTCTCAAAAAAAAAAAAAAGAAGAAGATTATTGCAATAGGCCATCCATCCATCCATTTGTTCATCCATCTGTCTGTCCATCCATCCACCTGTTCGTCCATGTATCCATCCACCCATTCACTCAGCAGACATTTATTGGGGCCCCACTCTGTACTGGTCTCTAGGCTCTAGGAATACAAGGAAGAATATAACTTGGATCCTGACCTCAAGAAGTTTACTAATCTAATGGGTAAACTAATGTCAGGCCCTCAAAGTCTTTCAGGAGCATGACGGAAAGGGTGTAGGGGACAATGAGTAGCAAAGGATGCTTAAAGCGTTTTCCCTGGGGGAGAGCCTGGGGTCAAGAAAGATGATTAAGGGCTGGCTAGGGAATAAGAAGAAGGGGAAAGATCTTGGAACAGCATTGTTCAACCAGAGAATGGCAAGTTTATCTGCAGAGCTGACACCTGAGATGAAACACAGGGTTCAGTGAGAGATGGGGCCGCTGGCTAGGCAGAGACTGGAAGAACATGGTGGACATTGCACACCACTTGGAGCGGGTCACTGTCCTGAGAGCAGTGGGAGTACTGAAGGACCTTAAATAGGGAAACGACATGGGCAGTTTGAAAAACATTCTAGGAAGATGACTATGACTCCCTGTGAGGTGGGAGGAGAGCCGGGGGCACCCGTCAGAAGATTATTGCAATAGGCCGGGCACAGTGACTCACACCTGTAATCCCAGCACTTTGGGAGGCCAAGGTGGGCGGATCATAAGGTCAGGAGTTCGAGACCAGCCTGGCCAATATGGTGAAACCCCGTCTCTCCTAAAAATACAAAAAGTTAGCCAGGCATGGCAGCACATGCCTATAGTCCCAGCTACTCGGAAGGCTGAGGCAGTAGAATTGCTTGAACCCGGGAGGCGGAGGTTGCAGTGAACCAAGATCATCCCATTGCACTCCAGCCTAGCAACAGAGTGAGACTCCGTCTTAAAAAAAAAGGAACAGGCGATGGCCGGCAGTATCCCGGAGGATGGAAAGTGGGGGATGGCTTTGAGGGTTGTTGAGGAGGCAGAATCTGCCAGACTTGATAAGCAATTGTCTTCTGGGGGTGGGGTGCAGCAGAAAGGGAGGGAGGAGTCAGGGATGGCTCCTTGTTTCTAGGCTGGGCAACTCACCAAGTTAGGGAATTCAGAACCAGCTGCAGGTGAAGGGGCAGGAAGGGATAATGAACTTAGTTTCACTGGATTTGAGATGCTGTGAAACATCCAAGTGAAACAGTCCAGTAGACAATTGGACACAGAGCAAAGGAGGAGTCAGGATGGAGAAAGAGATTTGGGGGTCTTCAGTCTAG